CTTTCTCTTTTAAATTGTGGGTTCCAAATTCTCTCCCTCCCTCTAAACCTTCCCTTTTACAAATAACAGACAAGTAATATGGTATCAAGTAGAATAATGTTATAAATATAAAAAAAAAGCAGAGTAAAATACTAGGAAAACCAGGAGTTTGTGACAATAAAGATGGCATTTTTTCACATCTGAAAATTTCCCATGGACCCCAGGTGGAGAACCCCTGTCCCAGAGAGTCACCAAAGGACCATGGGGATGAAGGCATTTGTGCTGGGTCACTCAGCCATCCTTCCCAACTCCAAACCCAGTCCTTTCTCTCCCAGACCAGAATAACATGGAAAACGTCAGTTGCTATCATCATCAGCACTTTTATTAGTAAAAACAGAGACTGAAGAGTCAAAAAAGGTCTGAAGCTGGTTTGATTGGAGCGCTCATTCAAACTCCACCCTTCTGACACTGAAGTCACCATAAACTGATATGAAGTCTATTTTTCTTAAATCAAGGTGATTGGGGAAAGCGCAATCAGAGCCATCATGCATCCTCACTCTAAACTGCTGTTCCTCCAACATCATCTGAATCTGAATGGGGAGAGGAAAGAAGGAGCTGAACCCAGAACCCTGGGCTTGGAGACAGGAAGACCTGGGTTCAAATTTCTCCTCAGGACACTTACTACAAAATCACTGTGTGACCTTAGGCAAAGCATTTCTTTCATTCTGAGCCTCAGTTTCCTATTCTGCAAAATGAGGGGGTCAGGCTAGATTGCTCCTGAGGTTCCTTGTAGCTCTATATCTAGGGTCCTATTTTGTGTCCTGGGATACCCCAGAGTCCTCTCTAATCCTATTGGGACCATGGTCCTTCACAATTCCTTCCCTTTCCCCATCGCCCCCAGCTCTGGGGATACTGGGCTTCTTGCCATTGACATTTGGAAACCTGTGACCCCATTCCCATCTAGCTTTTCATCTTTTCCCCATCAGAGTTTGCTTCCAGGACTCTTCTGTCAAATGCAAGATCATCTCTTGGGTCCTTCCCAGCTCCAATATTTTATGTTCTAATTCTCTGCTTTTACCTCCACTGTGGTCCCTGGCACAAAGGGGAAGTTTCTTTCCCTATGTTCTCCACCCCATTTGCCATCCTTCCTTGAGTTGAAGACAATTATGTTGACATCACCAAGATAGTCGAAGCGTGGGTTGAAGTGCAGGCCAATGTTAAGGTCATCCGTGCCCAGGTTAACTCTAAATCTGGGAATTGAGAACACATCTCCATCATTGGCATGGGTCCCAGAGCCTTTGAAATCTCCTCTGTGAGAATTCCAGAGCAGAAGACCCCCCAAAGGGACTCTCACCCAATCCTGACCTGAAACACCTTGGTTCCTCTTCTGCATTACCCCTTCTATCTCCACCCTGTTTAACAAGAGACCATGGTATACATTTTACTACCTCCGGAGAGAGAGAGCTCACTACCTACCCCAACTGTCCATTCCAGGTACTGTGCAGGTTCTGTTAGGAAGTTTTTCCTGATGCTGAGTCATGGCCCTGCCATCTGTGGCTGAGGCAAAACAAACTGGGTGCTTCTAATCAAGGGTCAAGTGCAGGAAAGTGTGTAAAGCATTCAGCTCTCATCTAGAGTTAAATTTTATCTCATTCTTCCCATCCCTCACTTACACGGTGGCATCAGGCAGGATATCTCCTTTTAGTTTTATCCACACTCCATGTTGGATGTTCAACGCCGTAAGATAAGCTTCCTGAAGAGATAAAATAGAGCAAAGTTAGGGCTGGCTAGGAGCTGAGAGAACCCAGATCTTCCAGTTGGGGTTGGGGCAGGTTCTGGGTTCTAGGAAAGGTTTTAGGAAAGCAGATGTTCCTTCAGGCTAACTTGCATTGAAGAGGGAGTCAGTCTTGACTCTGTGACTTTGCGGAAGCCCCTTCATGTCTCTGGGCCTCAGTTTCCCCTATCTGTTAAATGAGGAACTAGCCTAGGTGATTGATTCAGTCCACTCCTCCCTTTACAGATCAGTAAACAGGCTCCAAGAAGTAAGAAAGGATCTGTCCTGGGTCACAAAAGTGAGCAGCAGCATCAGAAGTGGAATACATGCTTTTCTTGGTTCCTAGGTCCATGTCACACTGGCTTTCACAACACCATATTTGTCTAGCATGAAGGGGGAAGGTAGGAATCTGGTGGTACTCCAAGGGAAGGAGATAGCCTATAACTCAATGGGGAAACTCCCTGGTAGCTAGGTAAGCCTTCCCTTGCCTTCCCCATACACCCTAATAATTTGTCCTGCCCTCCTCCTCATTCTCTGACAGGTGCCCTCATCTCACTAAGCAGGGAAGGAATTCCTCCCCAGGAAAGTTTTCAGGAAGACCTTCCTCCATTCCCCAGACCCAAGCTAGGCAGGAGCCAGCCATACTGAGGAAAAGGGGAGTTGGCAAGGGCGGGGAGGGTCAGAAAGAATGGGAAATCAAGGGTGAACTTGGCAGAAACACTAAGATCAAGGAACTCAGCTTCTGGGGTCCCCCGCCCCTTTAGTAGAAGAGTAAGGGCAACAGGGCAGCACAGATGTGGGGTCCCTCCTTGTTCTAAATCAAAAGAGAAGTAATGGGGGGTTAAAGGGACAGAGTTATCGTGTGGGTTACCTAGAGAAGAGGCAAGAAGTGTATTTGTGAGGTTAATTTAGTCTTGTCTTT